AGATCCAGTTCTCTACCGACACTTGAAGAGTGTGAATAGACGAAGGGTTCTCTGCCCACACTAGGAGAGTGTGAAAGGATGAACGGTTCTCTGCCAACACTGGGGATATTATAAAAGGACAACGGTTCTCTGCCGCACCGGGTAGTGGTGGAAAGAGTTTGTTGTAAAGGCTTCTCCGCCTTGCTGTGGGTGCAAAAGGAGAGACACTATTGGTATTAGTGCAATACTCGGAGGGTGCCTCACTGAAAAGAGGACTTCACCTATTTTCCTAATTGACATGCATCACAAAGGTGGTCCTTAGTAAAGTCCAGTTTTGGTATAACTCTCACTAAGTTCTTTTGGATAATCCTCCTAAGATTTTTTATGTTAGAGTGACAAAGTCTCCTATGCCAAAGCTAGGAATCATCAAAAATAATCTTTAAATAAAAAGTAGTAGGAGTTTTAATGCAATTCAAGTCTAGTATATACACATTGTTTACCCTTATACCATTCAAAACATCATTATCATTCAGGCTTAATATGTAGCTTGTAGGAAAAATTTTTACACAATAACCTTTATCACATAGCTGACTAATACTTAAAAGATTATGCTTCAAGCCTTCTACCAACAAAATATTTTCTATAAAAAAAAATTTAAGATTTCCAATCATACATGATCCTACCACCTTGCTTACGGTGTTATCTCAAAGTGTATCCTTACCTCCACTCCTAGCTTCCAGTGATATGAATTGTGCAGTATCTCTAGTCATATGCTTTGAACAACCGCTATCTAGATACCATATGCTCTCATGAGGCCTTGTATGAGAGCTATCCTGCAAAAACATCAAACATTAGATATGGGAACCAAAATAAGTTTGGGTTCACCTTTTTGCAAATTATAAACATATGCATGTATGATATATTTAAGTTTATGCATCTTAGGTTTCCACACCAAATGAGTTTTCTTCTTCAATGTACATGTGTGAGCTATATGTCCAATCAATCTATAATTATGACATTTGACTCCTAAAAAATGGTTTCTTAATTTTGTATAGTTTCTCTGTCTATTTATGGATTGCATAAATTTAGGATACAAAATAGGATTGATGAAATCTTCAAGTCTTGGTGGTATCATATTATCCTCGAGAGCTTCTATTTTTAGTTTATAAAATGAATTCACATCTTCCAAGATATGATTTGTATAATTTACTCGATACATTTTACTCTCAAATTCATCCTTATTATTTTTTATTTCTTTTTGAAGTTCAGCATAGGATGATTTTAAACTTTCATGGTTCTTATTCAAATCATCAAACTCATCAAGCAATTTCATGTGATTGTTATCAATTAAAACATGATCTTTTATAAGGATATCCTTTTCTCTTTGTAGTTCCTAAAATTTTTAAGTTCATACTAGCATGCATTTTCGTTAACTTTCTATATGCATCATATATACGTTCAGTGACATCAAAAAGTTAATTATAAGATAAGTCACATACCTCTTCTTGATCTAACTGATCAAGATTATCAGCCATTAAGCATAGATTAGTGACTTCCTCTTCCTTTTTAGTCTCTAACGAGTCTGAAGCTAAGTCCGCCCAAAAAGCTCTTTGGAATTTCTTCTTGTCCATCTTCACAATATGTTTCTCCTTTACCTTCTCATTGCTATGAGTGGCTTTAAGTTTTAGGCAATCTGACTTAATATATTTAGGTTTCCTACACTCATAACAAATAACTTTATTTGAAACCTTGACATTTCTATTAAATTTACCTCGATTCCATTGCTGGTGTCTCTTTTGCTTCATCTTCAAAAAATTTCTGAACTGTCTGGTCATCAGTGCGATGTCATCTTCATCCTCAAGTTATGAGAGTTCACTCTCTAACTCCTCCACTTTCAGTGCTATGTTCTTCTCCCTTCGTGGTTTACCTATATCAATCTTTCTTTGACTCACCCCTTGCTCGTAAGCAATAAGTGATCCAAGAAGATTGTAAATATAATAAATGTTTAAATCTTTAGACTCTGTAATTGGTGTTATTTTAGCATCATAAGCAGTAGGTAAGCAACAAAGTATTTTATTAACCATTTCTGCATTCATTAGTTCCCTACCTAATGCATATAAAGAGGTGACTATTTGTGTGAATCTTGTGTACATGTCAGTAATTGATTCATTGGGTTTCATGCAAAATAGTTCATAGCCATGCAACAAGATATTAAGTCTAGATTGTTTAACTTCATTAGTCCCCTCATAATTATACAAAATCTATTTCATATGTCCTTTCCACTCTTACAAGTGGAAACCCGCATGCAATCTTCAGATTTAAGAGCACAAAAGAAAATATTCAAGCATTTGACATTAAGTTGTGCTAAGTCACATTCTTCTACTTTCCAATCCACAAAAGGTGTTTCAACTCTAACTCCGTCAACTAATCTAGTTGGTTTTGTATACCCTTCCTGAACTAAGATCTACATACGATAATCAAGTGACTGTAAAAATATAGACATGCGTGTTTTTCAAAAACAAAAAGGAATATTGTCAAATAATGGAGGTCTAGTGTTTCGGTTTCTAAATGTAGCCATGGTCGTTAATCAAAAAGTAGTCTAAACTTATGATTTTGAAACTAAGCTCTGATACCACTTGTTGAAACTTATTAAATATGAATTAGGTTATTAGACCTAAACTTATGTCCAGTGGCTAACCAAGAGAAGCATGAATTGGTAATTTAAAAATTTAACCACCCTTTTTTAATTTTAAACCGATAAAATACTAATGATAATTTTTTTAAAAAAGGATTTTTCAATCATAAATCACATAGAAACAGTAAAGTAAAAAAGGCAGTGGAAAAATAAAAAGATACAAGATTTATAGTGGTTTGGCCAAACACGACCTACATCCACTCCCTGAAGTCTTCCACTTCAGATATTGCACTATTACCACTTAGTGTCTCTTCTTTTGCCCCCACGACAAGGCAGAGAAGCCTTTACAAAAACTCTCTTCCACCACTACCCGGTGCGGCAGAGAGCCGTCATCCTTTTACACTCTCCAAGTATAGGTAGAGTACCTCCCGCTGTTCACACTCTCCAAGTGTAGGTAGAGAACCTTCCCGCTATTCACACTCTCCAAGTGTAGGCAGAGAACCCTTCATCCTTTCACACTTCTCCAAGTGTAGGTAGAGAACCCTTCGTCCTTTCATACTTCTCCAAGTGTAGGAAGAGAACCCTTCCACTATTCACACTCCTCAAGTGTCAGCAGAGAACCGAATCTCCTTGATAAGATCTTCTCATGAGAAATCTGGAAGGACAAGAGAAAAGAGTGAAGTAATCATAATTCACAAATGAAGATCCTTACCTTTGAGTACTAAGTGAACACTTCATGCTCCAGTAGTAAGAAATTTCCTTCAAACACTCTCTCACACTCTGTCCTTCAATCTCTCTTCAGTTTGCACGAAGACCAATGGACAAAAAGATTACAAGATAGTTTTAAGTGGACCTTTTATATGAAAGACACGAAAAATCGTCCAAAAACTATAATTTTTCAAATATATACGTACTTGATCATCCTGTATGATCGTAATTCATACGTACGAACAGTGTAAAAACTATTGTGTATGAACTCAATGTGCATTGTTATGAAATTACTTCGTACCCGATCATCGTTCTGTACGAACATAGTTCGTTTGATATGAACAGTTATTTTCAAGCTTCGTTGAAAAATAACTGTAGGACGGTCCATAAGGTTAAGGAACAGAGGACATCATCCTGGGACGAATGGGCATAATCATCTAGATGAACTGTTAATTTTAGAAATCAGAGAAAATTGTCCAAGGATGAATGAGACATTTTATCTGGACGAACAACTCAAGGTAAGAAATCAGCGGACATCGTCTAGGGATGAATGGGATATTTTGCTTGGACAAATAGTGTAAAGTAAGAAATCAAAGGACATCGTCTAGGGACGAATGGGACAATTCATCTGGACGAACAGTTCAAAGTGAGAAATCAAAGAACATCGTCCAGGGATGAATGGGACATTTTGTCCGGACGAACAGTTCAAAGTGAGAAATCAGAGGACATCATCCAGGGACGAATGGATAAATTCGTCCGGATGATCATGACTTAGAAAATTTTTCTTCACTTTCTATTTGTTTCATTGCTCTCCGAGGGGTATAACTGATCTGATCATCCCGTACGAACATGGTTCGTCCCGTACGAACATGGTTCGTCCCATACGATCAATATGAAAATTTTTATCTTTTAAAGATCTCTCCCGGTGTGTGTGTGCTATGTTACTCAATTACAATCACACTTTCTCTGACTCAAAATTAACAAAATACAGACTCCAAATTACAAAATAGTATAGTCAGATCTTTATTTGAAGTCTTCACCATTCTGGGGTTTCATTTCCCTAAAATGTTAGTACACACAAGAGCCAAAAAACAATTCTTCCAAAATGTGTTATGAGAAATTAAGTAATCAAAACAATAATATTTGGAATCATCAAAATAATAAGTTGCAAGAATATAAAACATGCAAAAGCTAAGTAGCAACTCTCTTAACAATCTCCCCCTTTTTTATGATGGCAAAATAATTATTGTTTGTATAATTTTTAAATTTTAAGTATCTCCTTAAACTTGAAATTACTATATTGATAATAGGGGGTGAATTTTGACACTTTGTTGCAATAATTTAAAATCCTAAGCAAGAGTTCTAATATTCTTGTGTTTTTAAATTTTTAACAAGAAAACTTTAACTAATACGAAAGCAATTGATTGAACTCAACATGCAACACTGAAATTCTTTTTCTTTCATAATTACTACCAAGCAAATATAAGGAAAATAAAGTGCATGCAAGAATTAAAAGCAATAAGGAAAAAACACACCTGAATTTTATAGTGGTTCGGTCAAACCATGACCTACGTCCACTCCCCGTAGTCCTCCACTCCGGAAATTTTACTACAAAACTATAGCTCTCCTTTTTCCCCCTCGGCAAGGCGCACGCTTAACAAAGATTAAGATATTCAATTTATGAAAATGATGGTGTAAACCATATTGATGGAGGGCATTTGTTCTTTGGATAAGGGTGAAGGATATGCTGAATGCGATCATTGTAAAGATCAAAAAGTCCAACATCACAATCAAAATAACCTGCCATCATGTTGCTTGAATTATCAGCAAAGTATATGCAGTTTGGTTTAATTCCAATAGCAGCCTTGTGATGCGAAGAAAATGTCTGATTATAACCTACAAAAATGGAGTATCCCCCCAGCTCGTTGACGGGGATCCATTGAGAGGAAGAAGAAGAAGAAGAAGAAGCAGTAAAAGAAGAAGTAACAACACCTGGCACAAACTTGGAAACAAAGATAGCCCTCGTTGTTGAATTATAGTTTCCATCACGAGTAAGATTAACCACCCTCTCCATTCTTAGAAGAGTTCCTGACAAAAAGGTAATATAGTAAAAATGATAGAAGTTTCTGGTGCGATGGTATGGGTTGGGCATATTCGGGCAGATCAATTCAACATTTTGTCCATTGAGGTCAAAAGCAAGCACCATAGAAAAATTTGTGATTGCGTAAAATCTTTGATTTTCTTCATGATAGCAAACATCCTCAAACTGTTGCTTGCCCTCCATGCTGTAAGGAGATAAATGTGGCCCGAGAACCCAAGTCGGATCTTCTAACCTTGCCAAAGCAAGCTGTTTTATAACGCCGTAAATAACAACAATAGATCCAGAGGAGTCATTAGATGAGATAATGAACTTATGAAAATATTTATCACGTAAGTCGTTAATCATAATATCAAAGAAAAAATCAGTGCAAAAAATCCTAATGGAGCCGTCAGGGGCATATTGTGGGTTGATCAAGGTGAAAAGGGATGGGAGCGATATTTCAGCCTTTGTGATAGGGTTGAAGAGGCAAGGCTGTAGATCTGTTTTGTCAAGGGTCACAAGCCATCCATACTTGGAGCCAAAACAACGGCGGCCATAGGTGTGGCCACCGATGGAGGAGAAGCGACGATGGAAGCTGACGACAACTTCTTCTCTTTCTATGGTAAGTTCGTAGAAGGTGAGTGTATCAGAGGCCTCTTCGACATCATAGGAATGGAGCAACCAGGGGGAGGGACAACATTGAAATCCAAGGAGTGCATAGTTGGCAAGAGTGAAACTCCATGAGGTGCAGACAACAGATAATCGAACTAAGTCTACAATGCACAAGTGTGATGAGATGCAACAGAGGATATCTATGGGGAGATCAGACCATGCCATAATATTATTATTTTAGTGGTGGCCAATGAAGGAAATGAGCTGTGGTACCTTCCCACACTACCACACTCGGATAAAAATTATCAAGAGTTAGAATCAAATATGCAATCTTTGTTAGAGATATAAATATGTGGAATAGAATAAGTATTTGTGGAAAATATTCTAGTGCATTAATTTTTCTTCTCATTTGTGGATATTGAAATTGGCCAACTTGCATTATCCATAAAAAGAATAGGGTACGAAATTCATGTCATAAAAATTAAATTTATTATTTAAAAATTTATATTTACTTTTAATTTTTTATTTATCTTTTATTGCATTCTATTTATTAAGAGATCGAACGAGACTATTTGTGTCAAATTTTGGCATTATTTTAAGAGGTATCGAAATGATTATTCTTAAATATATAAATGAGTGGAAGATGAGAAAACATATATTGTACATGTGTTACCGTAGACAAAGGAATTTATTTACAATAATTATATTATTTCATTTTAAAAAATGAATTTGGTGTCTTAATGGCTCTTTCATAAGGTTAGAAATAGTTTGTTTTTAATAATATTATAAATTAATAAAATTTCTGATCAATCTAGTTCATATAATAAAAATATATATAATGTAGTACATTTCAATTTCTTATTTTAGTAATATGCAAACCACTCATTGATTCTAATTAAAAGAGATCCCACTGCATATCTTATTTCCTCTAATGAGACATCATCATTGTGTGATTGATGGAAGGAATAATGAAATAATTAAAAAAAGGTAAGTAGTTCATCATCACCAATTAGTTGATAGGAAAAATATTAAAGTAAAATAATGCATGTATGGTGCATATATGCATATTGCCTTTGTTAGAAAGTAATCAACAAGACTGGAAAAGAAATCTGATTTGTCTTTTCCGTGCTTCTTATTTCTCCATCCTCGCCATTAGAGTCTAGTCAAAGTTTCTTTTCTGTTGGGCTCTCTCTTAGTCTTAGAGACGAAGATGGAGGAGGAAATAGTGATTGGTTTGTTGGAAGCTTTACATCAATCCTAAAAAGATCAAACACATTAATGGCATCCATGGAGAACCATTAGTGTTGAAAAATGTATTAAAAAATAGTCATATTCTCATTTATGCAATAACTACTCCTTAACATATATTTCACCAAGGTTAGTTATGTTTAGGGCACCGTTTGAGATGGCTTTTTTACTGCTTCTTAAAGCAACTATTTTGTGCACAATAATAACAACAACAAGAACATGAAGTCTTTATCCCACTATATAGGCTACCTGAATCCTTTTTCTCCATTTTGTCTTATTAAGTGTCATATTCTCATTTAACTCTAATAAATAAAGGTTATTTCTTATATTTTCTAACAAATTCTTCTTAACTCTACCTCTACCTTTCTTAAAATAATCCAAATCTAATACATCTACTCTCATAACCAGGTCATCATAAGTCCACCGTTTTATGTGAAAAATTAAAATATTTCATTGTGTTGCAAGATATCTATTTCTTCTGGCTCTAGCAACCGTAACACCTCTAAAAAACCAAAAGGAAGACAAACAAGAGTAAAAACAAACTACCAATTTGTTTTCTAAGGCATGTTTAAACTTTATAAAACATTTTCTGCGTCAGTATCAAACTGCATTGGAAAACTTTTTCATGTTGTTTCAATAAAATTGTTTTGTAGCGTTCTAAGTATTTGAAAAACTACAGTATATCACTAAGTTATGACAACAAAAAAGGAACTTGTAAATCGTTAATTCCTCAAAAACGTAGACAATAAACCCTTAGTAATGTGAGAGAACATATAATAATACTTTTGTAAAGAAATATCATATTGATACCCACATATTTATGATTGAACAAACTATACACAGCAGCTTATAGTCGTCACAAACTTCTCTCAAATTAAGCTTCGAATTCAAAAACTTTTAAGGAACTATTTAATCTTCAGATTTAATTGGGGTATCAAAATGGATCAGGTTTGGATCTGATCTTAAATTAATCTGACCAAAATTCAAGCAATTCGAATACGATCAATTTAGTGATTAACAAGTCAAAAAATTGAATCCGAATCTGATCCGTTAGCAACATGAACCAAACATGATAACTAGTTTTAATTTAAAATTATTTAAAGTAATAACACAAAAATTTAGAAGTAATCTTAAATGGGTCATTTTCAAGTCAAATTGGGTAGGTGGGTCAATCAAAACTTAACCCGTTAAATAAATAGGTTGAAATGGATGACTCAAACCCCAACATCAACCGGAATTTGAATTTTTTGGATCTGATTAATGGGTAGGTTCATTTATTGAAACCCTAGGATTTAAGTAGAATTTATTACAGATCCTATTAAAGGATTACAAGAGACAAAATAAATTCTATAGATTTTTAATTCATGTTTCACCTTTATTTTGACCTCAATTTTTGATTTGTAAAGTCGAGGAATTGATAAATTTATGAGATTTAGCGAATGGAGTGCATGTAGGGCAAAGAAAAGCGATGCAGATGAGAGTTACTTTCATTTTATAACGAGCTTCCGTCGCAATTTTCTTGTTTCCTTTTGGTCAGCTACTTTGTACAGACTGAAAGAGTAAAGAGTGATGACTAAAGACGAAGGATTAGGCATTACTATTTTTGCCTAATCTTAATTTGCCTTCAGAGGAGATTTTTTTCTGATTTAAAGGCTCCTATTAATGATGTGATGCTTGAAAATTCTAATAAGTTTTAGGCTCTACAAAATCTGGAGGAGAATTTGGTGACTCATCATGTGGAGGATTTTAGTATTTTTTAGAAGGAAATAAGTTTTCTAAATATAGTGCTAATGTGCAATCTTTTTTGAAGGTTTCATTAGCTTCTGGTAAGTCTACTAGATCCAAAAATATCAGGAAGGAAACCACCTCTTCTAGTAAGTTTTAATATTATTTCCTAATATTGCTTCTTGGAATGTTATAGGTTTTCATAACTTGGATAGAGTTAATGCTTGTAAGAACATTGTTAATAAGTTTGATGTGGATTTATTTTGTATTCTTGAAGCTAAGGTTAATTTGGATCAAGTTAAGGGTGCTTGGTTTGATGCAAAACAAAGATTTTTCAAAATGAAGCTAATTGTCATAATTTTCACTTTTCCTCTCCTGGGAGCTAGGCTTTGGTTGAAATGGAATACTTCGTGTATTTCTTTAAATTGCATTAGTATGTCTAATCAATTCATTCATAGTTCTTTCAATTTTGGTTCCTCTCATCCTATTTTTATTATTGTGGTTTATGCTTTTAATTTAGCTATTAACCGTTTATCTTTATGGCATGATATTATCAACTTAACTAGTAATATTTCAGCCCCTTGGGTTTTATTATTAGGGGATTTTAATTGTTGTAAATTTGTGAATGAGAAAGTTTTAGAGAATCCCCTCAATTGTTCAAAATGTCGAATTTTTATAATTTTATTTTTAATACTGGGTTGCATGATCTTTCTTCGGTTGGTCATCTTCTTTCTTGGTTCAACCAACAAGTTAATAATCCTACTCATAATAAATTAGATAGGATTTTGGTCAATTGTAATTGGCCAAATGATTTTCCTAATTCTTATTATCAGGTGGATAATCCTTATTATTTTAATCATTCTCCTATCATTGTTTGTAATAATGGTTTGAAGCATGGGAGAAATACATTTTTGTTTAAAAATTTATGGTGTAAAAAATTGGAATTTTGGAACTTGCTTATTGATGTTTTTGCAAAAAAAGCCTATGGGTAATCCTTTTAATGATCCGTTTAGTAAATTGCATTTTCTTGAAAGTCTGATTAAGCAACAAGATTGGGCTTCTTCTAAGAACATTACTACTACTATTACCCGATTACAAAAGCTTTAGAAAGAGTTACTTAATAAAATTCAAGTTGATCCTTTGGACAAGGAAATTAATTTGGCTCTTAAAGATGTTAATCAACATCTGAATTTTAATTTATCTCTTTGGTCTTCTTGGATTATGAAAGAGCTAAATATAAATGGCTTTCTCATGGAAAAGATGATTTAGGTTCTCTTTATTCTAGAAACCAACATCGACATAACAAAAATAAGATTAATGTGCTTTATACTTCTGATGGTATTATTTTTTATTCTAAAAGTATTTTTGAGGCTTTTGTTAATCATTTTAAAATTTTTTTTTTTAATTCTTAGAAGGCTGAACTTGCATCTACTTATAATATCCTAATTGGTAAGAGAGTTCTAGAAATTATAAAAAATTCTCTTATTGCTCCGGTTACCATAAAAGAAATAAAAAATGATATTTTTTCTGGTCATCTGAAGATGCTAATCAGAGATGGGTAATTTTAGTCTAGCTATAATTTTTTTTATATGTAATTCATTATTATTTTTTGTTTATTTAAAATAAAAATTAACTAAATTTATTATAACATAGATACAAGCTTGCGAGCTCTTGGCTAAGGATGGACTTACACCAGAGGATGGGAATGCGGAGGCTAATGAAAGGGTGTTCAGCATGGTAATGGGACCTGAACACCCAGGCAGAGTTAGAACCCAAGGTTTTGGTGTCACACCTACACGAAATTTCCCTTATAGCACAAATCATGGCACGGGTAGTTCTGGAAGCAATTTAATTCAAATAGTAAATCTCAAAGAGGAGGTCAACTCATTACGTAGTGAAATGAGGCAATTCATGCAAGAAATTCGAATGCAGCATCCACCTCAAGGAAGCTCAACAATGGTATGTAAAATTTCGCATTCTAATTTTAATGTTGGTAATTTGAATACTAATATTTTACAATCTTCTTATAATTTATAGGGTGGTAATGAAACTTCTTCCGAAAGATGATGTTATAGAAGAAAGAGAATGTTGTTTTGAAGATAACCCATGTTTGTGCAAATTGTTTTAAAATGCATCTTGGTATGGAAGTCTACTTTTTTGGGATGTTGCTTAAAATTTTGATATTGTAGATTATCAAATATGAATGATAAATGTTATACTCTTTTTGGGATAATATGGTTTTACCATATATA